AGCATGATTTAGTGTTATCAAATTTATTAAAAAATAAATTACTCACATAAAACATCTTGAGTTTAATTTTTTTTAATTTATGGAACCCACAACTTACTGAGATGGATACTTTAAGAAAAGAGAAAACTCTCTCATTATATATATATACATATATATATATATATATATATATGATTACTACCGATTCATGTTTTTTTACCCATTCATGTTAGCAAATAATAAACCAAAGCCATTAAAGTTCTTATATAATCTGTTACATGGTGGATAAAGCTGGGCATTTTATCCGTTATATTTGATTCGATTCGTTATTCGTTTCGATCCAAAAATTCTGGATATTCGTAAACTTTTGAATCAAAACAAATACTAAAATTCAATATCCTTTAAAATCGAAACAAATCACAAATATTAAAATTTTGAGAAGTAGATATCCGATCCGATCCAGAAATATATAAATATAAATATATATATATATATTGGTTATATTTAAAAATTTTAATGTATAAAATTATATAATTATTATTCTAGCACATGATTTTGAACAATTCTATTCACATTTATTACTTATATAAAAGTATTACTTAAAAGAGAGAATAAATTATGACAATATATTTTTTTCTTAAATTTTGTGTTATTATAATTGTAACTTAAACTTAAAAATTACAAAATATGTAAATTCACTAGTTTTTTTAATTTTTATTTTATATATCATGCAAAAAAAATATTTTTGCAAAGGAAATTTGTATCAAAATCTTAAGACTATTTGTATTAATCAAAATGGATGAGATATCCGTAAATATTCGTAAATATCCGCAAATATCTATTTATTTTCCGGATATCCATTTTTCCGGATATCCGTATTTTTTCGAAGCAAAACATACCAAAATTAGATATCCGAAACATTCGGAACAAATCACAAATACTTTAAAAAACCCAGATATTCGATCCGTGCCCACCTCTAATTGTGGACAAGCCAACCCATGCTAACAAACCTGCTACACTCTCACGCTTCTTTTACTCAAACATTAAGTACCATTAGATTATATATAAAAATGTACAATGCTGGAACATATAAATCAATTAAAAGACAAGGAAAAAAAAGAATTGCAAGATGTGAAGGCCACGAACGAAAGCTTGCCCGTTGACACAACAAAAATCAACCCAATATTATTCTTTTAAAACATTTTTAAATATTTTTATACAAGATACATTCCTTCTATTCACATAGATGGTCAAATATCATGTTCATCAACGGCTAATAACGAATACACGTGGTAAGTCAATATTGGTTCAGCTTCTCCAGAAAAGTGTTAAGGTACAACGTGAGAAGCTCTAACAAACGTGAAAGCCACAACTATTATCAAGCAACACAAAACACACACGAACACAAATAAAGACAACGGAAATGATTGTTTCAGACAAATGTGTACCTACATGATTCTGTACATTCCTCATTCTCACCAAACTCAGAGACACAATCTCTTTCTCTCTCTCTCTCATATATAATACTATCTCACATCACACAATTCTGAACAAAGAACATTTCTTGGGAGCTTAAAACTAACATTGATAAAGAGAAATGAGTAACTTTGGTAGGTCTTTGTTCGGTGTAAGCCTGTTACTTACCGTTCTTTTCGCGGCAGTCACCACCTCGGCAGAGTATTACAATTACGGAAGTGCCCTTGACAAGACCTTCTTGTTCTTTGAGGCTCAACGATCAGGGAACTTGCCTGCTGCTCAACGCGTCAAATGGCGTAGCAATTCTGGTCTCAAGGATGGTCTTTCTCAAGGCGTAAGTCCCATAAAACATATACTCGATGCTTATATTTTGTTCTTAGATTTATACTTACATATTTATATAAACACATACGTAAAGAACAAGAATATTTGTCAAAAATGAGATTTCTTAGATTTTGTAAGGAAATCCGAAATGCTAATACCAGTAAAAGAAATTCAATTATTCTCCACTTATTCTATAATATTAGTTGTTCTGGAACTTTTTTTTTTTTTGAAAAAGTTTGAACTATTTTGTTTCAGAATGTAATTTGCTAACATATTTTATGCAAATTTTGTATTTGTTGAATATTATGTGATCAGATAAATTATAAATAAATTTATCATTGGTTGAATTATATCTAATAAATATTTTTTATTTTCTGAAAAGTAATTATTTTCTAATCCGTATGCTTAACTTAAACAATTTATATTATGAAACATAGAGAGTATACTAATATTGAGGTTGGTGTAAATCTGAATGAACAGGTGAGCTTGGTAGGAGGATATTATGATGCAGGAGATCATGTGAAATTTGGTTTACCAATGGCTTTCTCAGTGACAATGCTATCATGGGCCGCGGTTGATAACCGTAAAGAGCTATCCGATTTGAACCAGATGCAACAGACATTGTGGTCAATCCGATGGGGTACTGATTACTTCATCAAAGCTCATCCTCAGCCTAATGTTCTATGGGGTCAAGTTGGAGATGGACAATCAGACCATTACTGTTGGGAGCGTGCTGAGGACATGACCACTTCAAGAACAGCTTATAAGCTTGACCAGTACCATCCTGGCTCTGACTTAGCCGGTGAAACCGCTGCTGCTTTTGCCGCTGCTTCTTTGGCTTTCAAGCCTTATAACTCTTCTTACTCTGCTATCCTCTTAAGCCATGCCAAAGAGGTTTGTTTTTTTCCTTTTGATTTGGTTATTTACTTCCTCTGTTTTTATTCATTTGAAGTGTTAGTGGTTTTGGGAAGTTATTTGGTTATGTTTGGTTTTTTTTTTTTTTTTTGGTATAAAAAAGTTGAATTTTTTATTTGTCCAAGTTCCGGTTCTATTTTGATTATAAATTCTGTTCAGTTATATGTCCACACACTATAAACCGGGTCGGTTAGATTCTGAACATTTGGATCTTTGTTGTTGTGTGTTTTCAGCTCTTCTCATTTGCTGACAAGTACAGAGGATTATACACTGATTCAATCCCAAATGCAAAAGCCTTCTACATGTCATCTGGTTACTCGGTATAACTAACCCCTTTGATCATCTGATCGCTCAAACATTTTACTCTTCTTACACTAAATCTCGTTTCAATGCAAATAAGTAATGTCTTTATTGTGAAAATATTTTGAAGGATGAGCTTCTTTGGGCTGCAGCTTGGCTACACCGTGCGACCGGGGACCAGTATTACTTAAAATACGCTATAGACAATGCTGGTTACATGGGAGGAACTGGTTGGGGAATGAAAGAGTTCTCTTGGGATAACAAATACGCCGGTGTTCAAATCCTTCTTTCCAAGGTATATCTTCAAGAATGTTCTTTTTGCAGTTTCAAGAATACTAATCTTGATTCTTGTTTGATTTGTGTGTGTGTGTGTGTGTGTGTGTGTGCATAGGTCTTGTTAGAAGGTAAAGGCGGTCCGTATACTTCAACATTGAAGCAGTATCAGATGAAGGCTGATTACTTCGCTTGTGCTTGTCTCAAGAAGAATGGTGGCTACAACATTCAAACAACTCCTGGTATGTTAATTAACTAACTACAGTACAGCATTCAAATTTAACGGCTAGTAAAATCTGCTGAGTTGTTTAATGGTGACAAAACAGGTGGTTTGATGTATGTTAGAGAGTGGAACAATCTGCAATATGCATCTGCGGCTGCGTTTCTTCTTGCTGTTTACTCTGACTATCTCTCTGCAGCAAACGCTAAACTCAACTGTCCTGATGGTTCGGTTCAACCTCAAGCACTTGTAGACTTTGCTAGATCTCAGGTAAACCAAACCTTTCAGGAACCAAAACCTTTTTCTTGTTGATTCTAATGAAGTAACCGAGTTTTTTTTTTTACCTCTTGCAGGCTGATTACATTCTTGGGAAGAACCGCCAAGGAATTAGTTACTTAGTTGGATATGGACCAAAATATCCAATCCGAGTTCACCACAGAGGCGCTTCAATCCCTTCAATCTTTGTTCAACGTTCTTCTGTGAGCTGTGTACAAGGATTTGATTCTTGGTATAGAAGGTATCAAGCAGATCCTAATGTTATCCATGGTGCTCTTGTTGGTGGACCAGACCAGAATGATAACTATTCTGACGACCGGACAAACTATGAGCAATCAGAACCAACTCTGTCGGGAACTGCTCCACTCGTCGGTGTATTCGCTAAACTCTCTGGAAAATTAGGTAACTAAAAAATAAACTACTCTGCTCTGCTTACAAGAACCATCAAGTAACATAGCGGAGTTTTGTAGGGTCTTATGGAGGAGGATATTCTAAATCTTACCAAACAACAAAACCACCAGGTTGGTCTTTTTTCTACTTGCTCCACAAGGTATTGCCTTTTTTCAAGCAGTGCCTGATTTTCATTTTATCTGAAACCCTCACAGCTTCGTCTTACAAAGCAACACCAACAGCATACACTCCGAAACAATCAGGTGCACCAATTGAGTTTCTTCATTCAATAACTGCTAATTGGATGGCTGAGAACACGAGGTACTACAGACACAAAGTGATTATCAAGAACAACTCTCAGAAACAGATATCGGATCTCAAGCTCAAGATTGAAGATCTCTCAGGACCTATATGGGGTGTAAACCCAACAGGACAAAAGAATACTTACCAGCTTCCTCAGTGGAAAAAGACTTTGAGTGCCGGCCAAACTCATGATTTTGTCTATGTACAAGGTGGCCCTCAAGCTAAAGTATCAGTCTTGAGTTACTACTAAAGACTCTTGTTTAACAATGATGAGATTTGAAAACTGCGAGATGTAAACTTTTCATCCTTGTGAGTGATGTTTCTGTTGTCTACTTAATCAAATTACACGTAGGATTAGCGAAGGAATGACAATGATATAACACCAAAAGTACTCAAGATTGAGATTAATTTAACATCAAGACAAAAATTTAAAGGTTCTCAGACCAAGAAAAAGAAAAAAAAAACACCAAAACAATAAAAAAGGATGCGAAGTATCACAAGTTAAGACTTAAAAACATAAAAGAGCATTGTCTTCTAAAAGCTTCTACTCCTCGCTAAAGGTAGTCTTCTTATCTGCCAAAATAAACAAACAAACAGTGAGAAGTTGGAGTACTTTCGTATCAAGATTCAAGAACCAAGATCAAATAACAAATTCATGTAATACTTGAAGGAGTGAAACTAGGTCTTCCACGACCATTGTCTCTTCCCCTGCCACGTCCACGGAAGTCTCTTCCTCTGCCACGGCCTCGGCTGTCTCTCCCTCTGCCACGGTTGTCGCTTCCTCTATTGTAGTGCAATAATTTGCCAAAGAGAAAACTAATTAACACAAGAACATCAAGCTCCGACACAAGAAAACCAAAAAATAATTAACTTACCTGCTTTGGGGAGTGTATGCGGATCTTTCTCCCCTCTCTTGAGCAACATCAAGACGAATTTCACGACCGAGTAAAGGTCTACCGTGAAATTCAAGTGCCTTCTGTGCTTCTCCAGCAGACGCAAACTCAACATGGCCAAAGCCTCTGAAACTGCCATCCTCTTTTGACATGGCAAATCTAACATCAACAACTTGGCCAGCTTCCTTGAAGAACTCCTCACTGGAAATGGAAAATAAAGTTATGAAAAATGAACTTGCGCACAGAAAGAGATTATAGGACAGTGTGCAACTTACACATCTGATTTTTCAACTTTGAATGGGAGATTGGCAACAAACAGTGTCTTTGTTCCTCCTGTAGCAGGAGTTGATGGTGTCTTTGGCTGAAAGACGAAGCATGTAACCAAGATTAACATCAAAGAATGACACAGAAAGATATTACACAACTACAATGTTACGAGAAAGGAACTCTTACCTGTTTCTTCTCAGCATCTACCATTTCAACATCAGAGCTCTTTTTCTTTGGGGTTTCTTTCTCATCTTCACTCTCAGACTCATCAGAGTCAGAGTCATTGCTACTGCTATCCTTTTCAGCCTTTGGTGCAAGTTTTTCATCTTCACTTTCCTGCAAATCAACCAATCAAACACGTGGTCAATGAATCAAATATTCCTTGTCACCAATAGCTGTTTAATGGCCTCGTTAAAGAACAGAAACTAACCTCATCAGAATCTTCCTCAGACGACTCTGAACTGCTTGCAGCCTTGGTAGCGACTGGAGCCGCCTTCTTAGCATCAGGTTTCTGTATTCATTAAAAAAAAATTAGTAACCCATCCAGCTAGTAAACACAGACTTTGCATATTCAAATCGAAAACAAAAGATTCTCACCTTGTCATCCTCGGATTCATCTTCTGAATCCTCCTCAGAGGATGAAGAATCTTTCACACCTGGCTTAGCTGCAGCAACTTCTTCCTGAAAGTGAAGGCAAAAACAGTCAAATATATTAGCAAAAACCCAAGCAGAGCAGGCTAAACTTGTATAATAACCAGAAATTAACCTCATCTGAAGATTCCTCTTCGGAAGTTGATTCATCTTTTGCAACACTTCCGTTCGTAGAAGTAAGAGCCTTCTTCTTTTGAGCGGGTTCCTTCAAAAACAAAATTGAAGATTTTAGCAAACATGCTTCACCAAAGGTTGATAACAACAAAGCCACAAAGCTATTACATCAACTGATCATAAGCAAAGTATCTCAGTGAACATAAGCAATACATAACTTAATAACAGATACACAACAAAACAAAGCTTGAAGTAGACTTAATTTAAGTTTTCAAACGATTGAATCAACTATGAGATTATGAATACACTAGAGTATTGTACCGTCTCCTCTTCTTCAGAATCAGACTCATCAGAGCTCTCCACCTTCTTGGGCACCTTTTTCTCAGCCTTTTCCTTTTGGACAGCAGCAACCACGTCTTTCTTCTGCTTCTTAAGGTTCACTTTGGTATCCAAATCATCCTCACTCTCTCTCTTACCTGAACAAAAACAACACACAAGGTTAAAATCAAACAACCCATTCAGAATTAAACGTTTACATCAACAAAAACGGCTCAACAATAAAGATTCAGCCATCAATAGTTCAAACAGAACACAAAAGCAAGCGTATTGCACTGCTGGAAAGATATATTCCAAAACTATTGAACAAGACATCAAATAAGGCAACGGAAAAACCAAAGAACTTTATATAGAACCCTAAAGTTGTTACCTTTCTTCAAAGGTTTTGTGGCCTTAATTGCAGCAGGGGCTGCTTCAACCTGAAAAATACGAAACACAAACAAAGTTTCATTATAAAGTTCGAAACAGAGCTAATTAGAAAACCCAGAAGGAGAAGAATATTACCTTGATGGCGGACTTTTTTCCCATGGCGAATTTGAGAAGAAGAAGTCGACGACTGCTAGGTTTGGACGTAAGATATTTTTCAGTTTAGGGTTTTAGGAGTTTGTATTTATCATCGGTTTCGATTTCGGTTTGGGGGTAAAGTTGTCTTTCGTTTTCCATCTAACGGCGATCTCCTCATGCCTGTTATTTGATCTCTGCCGTCCATGTGGCAGAAGTCTGATTATGGAAATAGATTTTTCTAAATTACGTAGCAGCGGATAGGTCAAACATGGGCTGATGAGTTTATTAGGCTTGCAGTGGGCTGGGTTTTTGTTTCTTCTTCTGTCCGGCCTTGCGAAAAATGTTAAAACTCTTTTCTTTTTGGGTCTAATGTTAAACTATTTATATAGTTATTTTTTGGACAACATGTTAAATCATTTATATAAAGAAAAAATTGGTAAATTGGGAAATTTTTCATTTTGTAATTTGCTGGTTGAGAAACCTTAAGTTTTTTTTTTGAGCAACAGAAACTTTAAGTTTAAATTGGTTAATTGGACAATTTTACAGATTTACCTATGTAAACTTGAGTCTAAATACAGTTTTTGTCATTTCAATTAAAATATATGTAAATTAAAATTTTCTCAATTACAATCTCTCTCGTAGATATAATTAGCAACATTTTGCAATATTTGTGTTCATTGCTTGATGCAATATTTTGCAATAACATGTTTCTTCTTCTGTCCGGCCTTGCGAAAAATGTTAAACTCACTTTTTTGGGTCTAATGTTAAACTATTTATATATTTTTTTGGACAACATGTTAAACCATTTATATAAATAAAAAAATTGGTAAATTGGGGAATTTTAATTTTGTAATTTTCTTTTTGAGCGACTTTAAATTTAAATTGTTTAATTCAACAATTTTGTAAATTTTCCCATCTAAACACTTGAATCTAAATGTTTTTTGTCATTTCAATTAAAATATATATAAATTTGTTATAAAATCACTTATATTTTTTTTACCAAAAAAAATAATTTTATAGTATCTCGAAATTTAAATAAAGGCGAAATTTATACCCGCAGAAAAGAAATAAATTGATATATGATAGAGATAACTTATTATACAAAAGGAGAAGAGAGAATGGTGCGAGTTACAACGTACGGACTTCATTCGTTTATATAGAGGTGAAAAAGTAGAATTTATTGTGCGTGCATAGTGACATGGGCTCCACATAATAAATGTTTACATAAAAATTAAAATGTGGTGCATCCTTCTCTAAGTTTTGTTTCCACACATTTATAAGACTCCCTCTTGGAGACCAATGTTGCTATCAATTTCTTTTTATTGTCTTTGTTGCCTTGTTAAAAACCTTTCTTGAAAAACCTAGAAGGAAAAATCATAGTAAGATAAAAAGAGTACAACCATGAAAGCTCCCCCTCGAATGAGCAGTCACAAATCCTTTTGGCGACGCATTCCAATATTATGGACATGTTTTCTGATTACCGAGGTAGGAAGTGATTTTGTGAAGAGGTCAGCTGCACTGTCACATGATCAGACATATTTTACCTTGATTTCTTTATTCTTTTCAAACTCTTGAGTGTATGAGAAGAACTTCAGAGATATGTGTTTGGTTCTATCACTTTTGATATATCCTTCCTTGTTTGAGTAACGCATGCCGCATTATCTTCATATAGAATAGTTGGATCCATATTTTTGTCAATTCCACTGCTTGAACAGATGTGTCGGCTTATTGATCTCAGCCATACACATTCTCTGCTTGCTTCATAGAGTGCGATGATTTCAGCATGATTTGAAAAGGTAGCCACGAGCTTTTGTTTCTGAGAACGCCAAGATATAGCAGTGGCTTCAATCATGAAGACGTATCATGTTTGTGACCGAGCTTTGTGTGGATCTGAAAGATATCATGCATCTGCAAAACCAATCATTTGACCATTTGAACCTTTAAAATTAACGAAAGATATGTTTAATTCCGTTCCAGTGTCTCCGTGTGGGAAATGAGCTGAATCTAGCCAAGAGATGAACAACGAATGATATATCAGGCCGTTTACAATTAGTAAGGTACATCAGTGCTCCAATTGCACTTAGATATGGTACTTCAGGACCAAGTATTTCTTCACTTTCCGTAGATGGTCGAAATGAATCATTTTCAACATTAAGTGATCTAACAACCATTGGAGTGCTAAGAGGGGTTGACTTATCCATGTTAAAGCGTTTTAATACTCTTTTAGTAAATGTGGATTGATGCACAAATATACCATTTTGATAATGCTCAATTTGTAGACCAAGACAATACTTTTTCTGTCCGAGATCTTTCATCTCAAATTCTCTTTTTAGATATTCTGATGCCCTTTGTATTTCCTTTTGGGTTCCAATAATATTAAGATCATCAGCATATACAGCGATTATCACAAATCCGGATGTTCTTTTCTTGATGAAAACACATGGGCATATAGGGTCATTCACATATCCTTCTTTTGTTAAATGCTCACTAAGATGATTATACCACATACGTTCAGATTGTTTTAACCCATATAATGATCTTTTTAATTTTATTGCACATAACTCTTTAGGTTTGGAACTAAGAGCTTCTGGTATTTTAAATCCATCTGGAATTCTCATGTAGATATCAGTATCTAATGATTCATATAAAAAATGCCGTAACGACATCCATAAGGTGCATTTCTAAATTTTCAGTTGCTGCTAAACTCATTAGAAATCTTAATGTGATTACATCCATAACATGAGAATATGTTTCCTCATAATCAATTCCAGGTCTTTGAGAGAAACCTTGGGCCACTAGACGAGCTTTATATCTTGTAATCTCAGTTTTCTCATTTCTTTTTCAGAAAAATATCCATTGTATCCAACGGATTTTACATCTTTGGGTGTGAGAACTATAGGTCCGAATACATTTCGTTTATTAAGTGAATTTAGTTCAACTTGAATTGCATCTTTCCATTTGATCCAGCCATGTTTCTTTTGGCATTCATATACAAACTTTGGCTCTAGATCTTCATTTTCTTCATTTATTTCTTTTGATAAAAGGTATGAGAAAACATCATCAATGTCATCTATATCATTTTGTTTCCATATCTTTCTATTATGGACGTAATTGATAGAAATCTCGTGACTTCCTTCAGATTCATGATGCTTTATATTGTCGTTAGATTCATCATTCTCTTCTTCCAAAATATTTTTTTTTGTTATTTTGGGAGGATCATGCTTTTCAGTTTCATTTCCGTTTCTAGGATTTTTATCCTTTGAGCCAATGGGTCTACCGCATTTCAAACGTGTTCCTGATTCATGTGTATCTACTGCCATTCCGCCTTTTTGTAGTATTTTAATACGAGAAGGAGTATTTACAGAAGGAATATGTGATTTCGTTATCATTTTGGTATCAGCAGATGCATCAGGTAGTTGATTTGCTATATTTTATAAATGCATGATACGTCAAACTTCTAATTCTGACTGTTTCGGAGGAGGATCAAGATATTAAAAACATGGAACACTCCATTTGATCTTTTTTCTACTTGTTTATTATCTCCCCATAGAATCAGGAATTATTTCTCAATGAAATGGCAATCGACAAATCATGCCGTAAAGGCATCACCAGATGCATCAGGTATGTGGTTCTAGATATCTTATTATTGATGGAGAATCATATCCACTATATATTCCTAACCGTCTTTGCGGTCCCATCTTTGTACGTTGTGGTGGTGCCACTAGAACATAAACTGCACAACCAAAGATTTTTAGATGCGAGATATATGGTTCTCGTCCAAATGCCAATTATAAAGGAGAATATCTGTCATATAAACTTAGTCTTATCCGCATGAGTGCTCATGCATGCAAAATAGCATGTCCCCATCTACTTGATGCATCTATTAATACCATAAAATAGTAGAATGGTCCACATGGTGGATGTATTAGTCCACAAATATCACCTTGGAGTCGTTCCATGAATTTTGGTGATTCTTTATCAATTTTAGTTTGTGATGGCCTTATGATTAATTTACCAAGAGCACATGCAACACATGTCATTTTATTACTTTGATATATATATCTTGAGTTTTCATTGATTTTTCGCATCATATTAGTGCATGGATGACTGAGACATTTATGCCATAATATAACATTTTCTGGATTTCTTTTGATCACAAGATGTGATTCTATGGCGTCAATATATGTATGGTATAATCCATAAGAGAATTCTGGAAATTTTTCTAGTACAAGCTTTTTGCCTGATTTTTCAGAAGTTATATATATACACTTCTTTTCATTCTCAGTTGTAGACTGAGTGTCATAATCTTGAAGGTATATATGTTTGAAACTCAACAAATTTCTCTTAGAATTCGGAGAATTTAAGGTATTATTTATGGAAAACTTTGTTTTATTAGGCAACATAAAGTTTGCTTTGCCAATTCCTTTATTAAGTCTGTTGGACCTGATATCGTGTTGACGGTCAATTTTGCAGACTTGAAGTTTGAGAAATATCTCTTATCTTTCAGTATACTGTGTGTTGTACCACTATCTGGAATGCAAATTTCTCTACCAATTTGCTTGATATTTGTTCCGTTTGCAATTTTATCCATTTCTGAAAAGCATATATAATATTAATAAAGAAAATAAAAATTCATAGCAAAATATATAAATAATTATACACTGATTATAAGCACATAATAAATCTTCATTACACAATAATTACACATTAGTTGTTTGAAAAACAATATTATTCTGAAAATGGAAACACATAATTAAAATAGTCATTTATGGCATCGTTAGGCATTATTAAACTTGATCACTATAAGTAATTTAGTTATTTCGAGGTGTAGCATTGTCGAAATTGCTGATGAAATCAGAGGATTCAAGGTATGTTGAAGTTGTATCCTCAAAGTGTTCATTAAGATTCACTTCTTAGCCTTGACTTTGATAGTATCTTGGTACAACTTACATAGATGCTGAGGAGTACGACACACTTGAGACCAATGTCCCTTTGATCCACATCTGTAACAGATGTTCTCATTTTTACGAGTATAATTTTCTTGGGTATGTTCTCATTT